GATATTTTTTTTATAAAATATATCGAAAACTCTGAAATTTTATAAATATTTTATTACAATAATGGAATGAGTCGTTTCTTACGTACCTTTTTATATATTACTCATTAAATAATAATGATTATTAAACTAGATATAACGAGTTTTCCTATTTAGTTCGTATCTACATTTTGTTTAATTACTCGATAACTATTTGTGCCAATTAGAATATTGAAAGTGAACATCAAAGATAAACCTATGACCTTTAAAATAAGCCTATTTCGAGATTTGTAGTAATTACCAATTTGTTGTTATAAGCTGTCAAAGTTGATTATCCTAAAACAATACTTTCTATTAAGTTATAAAAAAAAGTTCTTACGAATATTCGAGAAAGTAATTTGGCCACATTGTTTATTAGAACAGTGTGTTTCATGAATGGAAAATTTGTTATGATTACTCAAGTTAATTGAACGTTTTGGAGCTTCTGGAAAGAAAATCGCTTCGTTCGATCCAACTCTTTCCCCATCCTTCTTCCACCAATCACTTCACCATTATTACGTCTCTCTCGAATATTATGTGCACGTTGGAATTCGCGAATGTGTACGTTATGTGCGAAAACGGCGGGTTGGCGCGCGCCCAACATTCGCGACGAAACTATTTACAAATATTACGCGCTCGCGGTTCGTCCAAAAAAACGAAAAAAAAAATTACGAAATTGCGAGAATTTCGCAAAACAATATTTGCAACGATTGCGTTTCGATCGTTCTCGTAGGAAAATATATATACATGTATATATGTGTGTGGAAATGCATTCTGCTCCATTCATCGTCGCTTGCACTCTTCTCCGTAATAAAGTTTTAAAATTAGAACGAACAGTAATCACCGAAACGCTCGTTACGCATTCCGAAAAACCGTTTGCCAGATGAATCAACGCTGCTTCTGATGCTTTTCCTTCTAGTATATAGAATAGGAATAGGAACGGCATCAGATGAGCAGGAAACGTACAGATTACCTAATCCAGTGTTTATTTTCATCGCCGCTATTGTTACCAAACGTTACTCATCACAAATATGAGCGAGTAAAGTAATAAACAATTATTGCTTTCTCTAAGCAGAAAATCTCATGATTTCATCCATAAAATTTACAGAAAAATTCTTGATTTTCTACACTGAATAAACTAAATTCACCTCAATTCAAGTTAATGTTGAAAAATTGAAATATTAACGTTTTTTTTATGACAATATAAACAAACGTTCTTTTTGCTTTAATAAAAAAGTTATTCGTTTAAGTACAAATTTCTTAATGTGATACGAATGTAAATTGATAATAAGAGTTAAAAAAATAAAAAGCAGAGAATGTTCTGGATTGGAATGATGAAATTAATAAAACGAAAAGAGAAACCGATAATTGTAGTGGAAAAGTGTGCATTTATGGAAACAGGATGTGAACTCCAAGGATAATCTTCCAAATCCAACCGTGCATAATTAATGTGTACCAGAGTAGTTTTCTCTCTCCAGAAAGAAACACACTTACATACACATGTGTTTGTGTGTGTGTATATATACACATATATCTGCATGTGACGTAGCCGGCGAAGAAGGCGTTGGATGAATGAATAATACGTGTGGGTTAAGTGGACGCGTGGTGCTGGAATAAGAAAAAAAAATCAACAAGAAAAGAGAACAACCGTACATTAATATTATTGTTGTTGTTATTATTATTACTATACTTATTATTATGTTTCGTAATGTACCGAATACGGAGATATCGACGACGATTATGAGAGCGTCGTCAATCTGCAGCAGCATTCATTTTTTTTGCAGACGGTAGATGGGATTGATTTCTTGCGCGAATCAATTAGTCGTCATTGTGTCATTCGATTTGCATGCGGTTTTTGCACGAGAAAAATCTCGGTGCATTCGCGCCATATGGTTACGAGTGAAGAAAGACGCACATTCGCAACAAATAAAGTGTATATAAAATGAAGAAAAGAGCGTTCGTTGATTAGCGTTTTGTTCGCCTTCGATCGGAGCGAGGAAACTTTGCATTATTCAGATTACGTAAAAAGCATTTAAATTTTCTGCTCTTCGCTGTGACCATATGGTCTTCCTCAATATATTCGTTCTCGGATTTTCCAGATTTCATTTGCTTTGGACACGTTTTCTGCTAACATTTTCATCAGTCTGGAAATCGTTTTCCAAATCTATTTCCCTTTTACTAAATTATACTCAAGAAAAGCAACATTTTCTTCAGATTCTTTACAAATAATTATGAAATCAACGCAACAAAACTTGATTTCCAATCGTTTCTCAAATTTAACATATTGTTATTATCATTAATTCAATTGCAATATGGTTTAATTTATCGAAATTAGATTAAATTTAATTAAAAAGTAATGTAATTATTTATATGTTAAAGTTGTATAAACATTTAATTAAAACAGTTATAAAATATTTTTTTCTTCTATTATTGAATCAATCAAAATATATAATAAACTACTTTTTTAATTATATTTTAAATGAACTAAAACTTCGTTAAAACAAAAATATATAGAAAAGTTTAATTATTATTATAACTATTTAATTGCAATGTTTGACTTAATTAACTTTAACTTTGATTAGTTAATTTTATTTGTACTATTTTTTATCAAAAATACTTTCATAGAATGTTAACAATTATAGTAAACTAAAGCAAGTAAGAAAAAAAGTGAACATAAATTAATGTTTGTTTACTCACAAAGCAAATAAGTTTCATGTGTAAACGATTTAATGAATGAATTAAGATGTAATTTTGTATTCGAAATTACGTTAAAATTTACTTTTTATCGCGTATTTTACATGATATATCATCGTAAATCGATAAACGCTCGAGCGACGGTAATAAACTTAATTGGATTCAATCGAATTATCCCAATATTTGATCAAATCCGATCATTGCGCAAATAGTCGGAGAAAGTTCATAATATTCGATGGAGGTAGAGAGAAAGAAGAAATCAGAGTGGGCAGTGAAACAAAAAAAAACAGGAGAGAAACGCGACGCCCTCCCCACCCCGGAAATGCGTCGCGCTGCCGGAAGTCGAAGACCAGGAATTCAGGAGGCGGGAAGCGGTTGTTGCGGCGTCGGGGGCGGCCATCTTTGTTTATCGACGGAGGCGGCTGCGAAACCATGAATGAACGCTGACGTCACGGCGTCGTTACTCTCGCTGGTCTCGTGTGTGTGTGTGTGTGTTTGTGCAATTTTTGAGGGTCGCTCGATAACGGTCGCGTGCGTGGCGTCGCGACGCCCACCCTCGCCGTACGCCGCACGCTCCATTAAGAAACCAGCGGGATGTACATGACATTCACGCTTCCAATACACGAGTTCAAAAGATGGATAAAAAAAATTAAGTTTTGTTTCATGGGCGACGCGATTTCATAATAATTACGATATAGGTATTGAGTCAGAGGCGGCTGCGACGGCGGTTGTTTCTACCGCCACCACCGCCGCCGTAGTTGTTCCGAGCAGCTGACGA